CTTTACAAATGCTAACATATAAAACGTATTATAATTATTTAAATGCAACATCAATCGCTATCTTCTGTCTTTCTGAATTCTGTACTTTTCGTAGTAGTAGCAGCAACAGCCACATAAGTTATCGTTATTTGTTACCTCTCTTAGTTTTTTTTTTCTTTTTTTTTACTGCATCGTAAAGACAGTTTATGTACCAGTAACAAACATTTACCAAACAATTTTCGTATGCTTTTGAATATTTACTATGCAGGTGGGTGGTGGAGAAATTTTCTTTGAGAAAATGAGCGATGAAGAAAGAATGCTGTGATTTAGATCAATCAAAAATGTAATGCTAGTTTTTCAAATGTTTTTCAAAACTCCGCGTTGATCTGTAGCCGTATGCTTTCATTAAACTCTTTTGATCAAATTTAGTTATGAGCACAAACTAACAAATACTAATGACATTACTCGACATTGATATGACGATAAACTACATCAGGCAGCAAGGCCTCTGATCGGGAGGCTTTGTGGAGGTTGGAACCTCCTTTTAATTGTTTTGTTCCCACGTACACCCTCACCCGGAGTGGTAGCACATGTTAGGGTCCCAGCTATGGGCAAATAGTTAACCCCAAAAACTAGACTCAAAACACTATGAAAGTATAAAAATAAGTTTTTATAGTAAAAATACTAGCAATACAATATTTAAAAAATATATTACTAGCAATACATTTTAAAATAATACCAGCAATACATGTTTGTTAAAAAAATTACGAACGATATATTTATGTAAAAGAAATTACCAATGCTCCCAAGAAAATTAAATTTTGGCATAAAGTGTTGATATGTCGTTAAATAAACAAACGAATATATTCTTCAAATCTTGTCGGCATTAAATAATACATTAAGGTCGATATGCTGTAAAAAAACCTTAACCCAAACTAATGACATTTCTGCTAAGAGCTGAATAGATTCAAAATGATCAAGACATTTACATCGAGGTCTTTGCTGATAAAGAGCCACCGAGAGACTTCTTCAGAGTTGCTTAAGATAACCGATGAACTATGACCTTTCTTCAAAAGACCCAACTCCCAGAAGATGAACTATGGCCTAACATGCGATGTCTCCATCAACGGATTTATAACGTAGACCTTTGTATAGAGGTTTTTGTCAATAAACAATTAGCCAAAGACGTCTCGACGAAGGTCATTTCATAATAGATGGAATATGGACATTACATAATAATCCAGACATTTATAGCGAGGTTATCAATTAAAGATGGGGAAGACCTTCAAACAGAGGCTTGTGGCAATGCATTCAGGCCCAAAACTTCTCTACTGAGACGTGTAATATAACAATTGTATCATGAACGTTTTACAGAGGCCAACATTATAGCAGGAATACATTCCACAAAACAATATCATCAACGTATTATAATCGAAACCTCTGTAGTAAATACAGAATTCTTCTTCATCTTCTACGTACAGGGTTCTTTCAGAATATAGGAGATCATGGCTCTCCACAATTTCCTGTCCTTTCTAGCTCTTAATAATTTTTTTTTATATCTCCTAAACCTTCTTCCACCATCCATTTATTCAAGCTCACTATGTAGGTTATGCCTTGTTTTCTTCTCTCCATCTTTCCTTCTATCTGTCCTCTGAGTGTCAAAATTTCCAAGCCCGCCTTCCTCAGTATTTGCTCTATGAAATTAAATAGTCTCTTCCTGATGTTAAGTATATGTATCCTTTTTGTTTCCATTTTCTTTAAAACTTTGTCGTTGCTCAGATGGTCGAACAATGGTATCCTCAACATCCTTCTGTAGAACTACATTTCTGTTGCCTCAAGTCTCTTCTTCATCTCTTAGAAGATTGTGCAGCATTCACTGGCATATAGAAGGAGTGATATTTCATAACAGTTCAGTAATTCTTTTCTTTGTTTCTAACGACATTTTTTTGTTTCTTAATACTTTGCTTAGCTTTTGGAAGGCATGTTTCGCTAAATGAATAATATTAGGCACGTTTTGTTTCAGTGTAGAAAGATGGTCAATATTCCCAGAAGAATGATGGGCTGAAAATATTCTAGAAAGGTAAAACAAAAACAAAGAAAAACGTAAGTTCGTATCAACTTGTGATATCAGAGGCAGGATTAATTAAATAGGAAGATAAAAAAATATGTCACTGTTTATCATTCCCGCCTGCAAAAATATGTTGCATCAAAAGGTCAGTTTTTTTTTACTTTGACACCGCTATCATTCAAACTACTATCACTCCTCAGCAATGCTTATATTTTTTTTTAATAAAAAGGGATGATTAGAATTGTAATAAAACCTTGATGAAAGTGAATTTATACATTTATTTTGTTCTTGAGAATTCGCAACAAAATATTAAACACATTTTTTTTATTCAGTTCTTTATTCAGGGTAATTGGTTTATATTTCTAAAATTCTAAAAATTAATACAATTGTATTTCTTATATACCGTACCTATGAACACTAATGGGTATGCCCCAATCCTTATAAATACGTTGAACACTATGGTAAATGCGGGTACTATGCTGTCTACGCAGTGTGTAAATTCCTCCTTGGAGGGGTGTACACATTCGGATACTTACCTGGCCCAGGGCTCCGTCCCTGTGCTGGTGGTGTCATGGCTACGACTAGACTGGACCGGCTCTGACCAGCTTGGACCTGCTTGGACCAGCTATGACAAGCCAAGACCAGCTCTGACTAGCTTAGACCAGCTCTGACCAGCTTGGACAAGCAGCCCAAATAAAATCACTCGGAACCCCACGTTAGAAAAGTGACCTTGTGTCACAACCTGACACAGTGGGGGTGTTCAAGTAAATCTCACTATGCTGTCTATGCTGTCGGCGTGGGAAACTCTTGCCGTGTCGAACTCTCTGTGTTCGGGATCAGAGGAACCCGGACGAGGCTATGCCGAAGGGTAGAGTCTCGTCCGGGGAGGTAGATAGATATCCGATCCCGCTTATGCGGGGTCTACGGCAATTTTTGCTCGTGCCCACAGGCTCGGATTTGTCCACATCAAATTTGGCCTTGTACCGCATCCTACCTCGTGGGTAGGCAGGTAAATATCGTAATATGCTGTCTACGTAGTTCACCACTAGCAGTGGTTTACCTATTTCACGGCGCTGGCGAGTATTGTATTTTTTTACTATTTTATTTTCACCATCCGTTTTGGTTATTCCTCATTTAATAACCCTTTCTAGGTTGCAAGAGTATTAAAACTAATGCAATGCGATATTTTTAATTTACAAATTTTAATATAAAATGGACATTGAATCAACGCTCAAAAACGTAGGCTCTTTCATGCAAGACGCATGACTTGGCTTGACGATTGTGCCTAGCATGAAACAGCCTGACGCCTCTGAATGTTCACTTTTATATTTACATACGTTCTCTGATATTGAACATTTTATCCCATAAATATAGCACACCGTAAAATTATATTTCTTCATAATTTACAAATTTCTAAAGAAATACATATATTTTTTTTATTTCTAGAAATTTACTAAATTATCAAAATTTATAAAGCAATCATAATTTACCATTTTATAAAGTTCGAATCACTTGACAATTCGTCGATATTTTGCCAACTTTTCAAATAAATACTCTAATAAATAAATAGTGTAAATAAACAATCTAATGAATAAATAATGCTTAATATTATTGCTTATTTACAACAATAATTTTATCTTTACAAGATTATAAAAATATATGAACCAGTTACAATGCAATGTCTATAATTTACAATTTTATTTTAGTTTTGGGAAAGCGTCACGAAGAATATTGCGGACGTCTGAATATTTTTCTAATATATACTTATCCAAACCTCGCTACTTACTTTTGTTTCAGTCAGCCATTTTACCGAAATTTCTATCTTCGGTCACAAAGATAAATATGGCGCTGTTTAGTGTTAATATGTTCAATTAAGATAAATAAATTTCGTTGATATTTGTGTCGAGGAAAAGAAAAAGCCAATACTTAAATTTGATTATGTCTTTTTTTTTTTCTTCTTGACTGCTTCGTACAATTTAAAATACTCAAAATAAATTTTTCTTCAACTCAGACATTTAAAGTAGGATTCGAGAAAGTGTCACACATCTGAGTTAATTTGGGGATTTTAAAAAAAACGACCACAACGAAGGAGTAGCTATTTAGAAATATAAAAAAAAAACTAGCGCTCACACAGATGCAAATATTTTATCTCTTTTAAAACTCATGAGATTTCAGCATAAACAACATTAAATTGGCTTGTAAACCACGGTTTTAGAATCTGCATGTGAAGGCACATAAATTAAGTAGTCTGTTCGAAAACGTTATTATCAAGCAAAAGGACTAGAAGGCTAATGGAGATTTAAGGCCTTCAATATACGTTTTCTTCTTAAACAATGGTTACAATGTCTTCTATTACATGTTTCAAAACAATCAAAAAACCGTTCCATTGTTTCATTCTGCTTAACCCCCGACCGGCGGTTTACGACCACATCTCCTTGAAACACCGGTTCTCGTAAGACCGCTGAAGTTAAGCAACGGTGAGCCTGGCAAACTTCAACCCCTATCCATGGCTTGAGATGAAGGGATGAAAAGACGAGGTTGCCCTCTGGGAATCCACTTACGTTATAAAATAATATCGAGATGCCTTCTGAAGTAAATATTATTTCAACAAACAATATTTATTGCTGCCTCTTTCATCAGTATTCATGGTTGGTTCTCATATCAAATGTACATTGCTCCACCTCCTCAAAAAACATCGGCACCGAAGTTAAGCAACGGCAAGCCTGGTTAGTACCTGGATGGGTGACCGTTTGTGAATAAATACTAGGCGCTGTAATTTTGAATGTGTAGATCGTACGTCTTACATCCGCATCACGTTCAAACACTAGTTCGCGTACGATCACCAAAGTTAAGCAACGTCAAGCCTGCCTAGTACATAGATGGGTGACCGCTTTGGAATACGAGTCGATGTAATCTTGAATGTGTAGGTGGTATATTTTACATTCGCATCATGTTGAAATACCAATTCCCGTACGATCACCGAAGTTAAGCAACGTCGAGCGTTGTCAGTACCTAGATGGGTGACCGTTTGTGAATATTAGGCGCTGTAATCTTGAATGGGTGAGTGGTATATCTTAGATCTGCATTACGTTGAAATACCAGTTCCCGTACGATCACCGAAGTTAAGCAACGTCAAGCCTGGTTAGTACATAGATGGGCGATCGCTTGTAAATACTTGAATGGGTGGGTGGTATATGTTAGACCCGCATCACGTTGAAATACCAGTTCTTGTTCGATCACCGAAGTTAAGCAACGTCGAGCCTGGTTAGTATCTAAATGAGTGACCGCTTTGGAATACGAGGCGCTGTAATCTTGAATGTGTAAGTGGTATATCTTACATTCGCATCATGTTGAAATACCAATCCCTATACGATCACCGAGGTTAAGCAACGTCGAGCGTTTTCAGTACCTAGATGGGTGACCGCTTGGGAATACCTGGTGTAGTAAGCCTGGATTTGTGGGGTGTTTAATGGATAATGGCGCAGAATTCTTAATCAAAGAGCCGAGTTCGAATTCTAGTTAGGTTCGTTATATTCACTTCCGTGCAAATATCCTTTGGGAATGATATGGATCCTCCGGCTTTGTGTTTATTAGTAAGACGTTTATCACTAAACCATTATTATCTCTTAAAATCAAATAGAATTGTGTACAAAATTTTGGCATTAAATAACCCATAGAGATGTTGATATGCCGCTAAACAAAAACAAGCATCCAACCTTTAACGGTAGATATCTTCAACTGATGTTTCGTTATAATAGCCGCGGATATCTTTAATTGATGATTTTGATTTTCCAAAAATATAATCCTTAATTTATGACTCGAGTCTTAATAACGAATTCGTAGTTCTACATTTCATGGGATTGCGGTTTTTAACCTAATTTCACTCGAATAACGGCTTGGTTGATTGATTTTATTAAACGACAGAGAGGAAAGAAAACGGAAGAGACTTACACAATGCGAGAAAATCAAATATTAGAATAGAACAGACAATTGCATCTAGCTAGTTCACCAGTAAGAGACCTAGTTGACAATCTAGTAGCACGCTGGAGTTCACACAGTCGAGACAACAAGCTCATCAGAACAATTGTCAATAATATATTAGAGGGAAGCCATGACACGTCAGTGAGAAAGTAACTAAATTCGAGATACCAGGTCAGGATCGATTACATTACAGATTCTTCTTTGGATTTTGTCAAGAATCTCGAGATATATCGTAGGTTTGGTTTGGTTTGTTTTGTTTTACGGCATATCAACACCTCAATGGGTTATTCCATGCCGACAAAATTTTTATTGCTGGTGATATTTTCTTTTGTCAAAAAATCTATTTCTTTTTCCTTCAAAAATGTATTGATGGTAATATTTTTTTTTTCAAAAAAAGTATTGCTGGTAATTTTTTTTCATCGAAAATGTATAGCTTTTCATATTTTTTCCAAAAATGTATTGCTGGTAATATTTTTTTTCAAAAGCGTATTGTTGGTAATATATTTTTTCAAAAATATATTCCTAGTAATAGTTTTTTCTTCAAAAATTTATTGCTGATAATAATTTTTTACAAAATATTTGTGGTATTAAAACCTATTTTTAAACTTTCATATTGTTTTTACCCCAGTTTCGGTGTTAACAATTTGCCCATAGCTGCTACAACCCCAGGTCAGGGTGTGCCTGGAAACACCAACAATTAAGAGGTGTTTCTACGCCCCTCAAAACCTCCTGATCAGAGGCCTTGCTGCTGGATGAGGTCTATCGTCATACCCAGGACGGGGATGTAGTTTATCTTCTTACCCAGGACGCGGACGTAGTTTATCGTCTTAGCCAGGATGCGGACAAAAACGGAGAGATATCTTCGGAGTGCCAGACCAGATATGGCACTAATATTCAATGCACGGTCGAATGGTAGATTTATAAATGTGCAAGATGAAGTCAGACGAGCAAAATTGTCGAGTACAACACACTGAAGCAACTTCCTTAGCGGTAGACCTAAACATTGATTAAACGTGATCTCTCTACTTCATGTCAGTGGACACCGTGAGACCAAGAAGGCGCCAACTGCTTATTAGGATTTAAGAGGCTACGTAATTTCTTGTCGTATTTGGCCGCAGATCAATTTGAGAGAACAAGCCAAAAACTGATGTCTGAATGTATAAGACTCTAAGAGACGAACGCCTAAAAATCGTAACAATTAGTTGCAAGAAATGTACAATGAAATTGTGCATGAAATGCACTATACTGATAAAAGAAATACAAAATGTAGAATCCTAATAATTTATATTTTCACTTTTACATTCATTTTATATTTTAAGAAAATCTTTTTAAAAATTATTTTATATGTTTGTATATGATTACAGTACAAATAATCATAAAAAGTACCCTTTAAAAAAAGACTATTTTTTTTATTTTTTCGGCTGACCGTTAGTTTAAACGTACCTCCCCTCTCTTTTCGAAGTGATTTTAAGTTAAAGAAAAGCTGGAAGTCACACGATGCCGAAAATATCTTGACAGTCACGTGATTCTTTTTGCCAAATAGCCAGACATACATAGGATTTGGTATAGGCACACATGATACCACGTTTTATCGATGCATCTCCAAAGATTAAAATGATCTGAGCATGAGAGATCATCTTTGGCTTTGCTTGTAAAGCTCTATGTTAGCCAGGTGAAGTTGACTGTACCATTCAGTACCACCAAAACCAACCTATCCTGAATATTCTCCTGACATGATAAATGTCTGTACTCACAATATTCCTTATTCGGACGTCTATTGTGACACGAACTAACTCCGGACCCCAAGTGGAATTCCCTGAATATTCTGGAAAAAAAATTGACGGTTCGTTGTTCTAGATCAGACATAAAGAATATAGAGTATTACTTCTATATTTGGATTAGAGCTACCCACTGATCATTTATTAGAGAGATACGTTTACACGGCCTTGTGGGTGATGAATTATTTGCCACAATACAAACCCTTTCCGCAGATGAAACGTTGCTAACTAATTGCTCTTCTATTACTGTTTTCATGGCAGATGTTCAGGTCAACTATATTACTTGTTTCTGCCAATTCAGACCTTCACATGAAGGACCCCGCACCATGGCACGCACCATGAGTCAACAACTCATTCTCTTTATATTCCATTTGCAAGGAGGAAGTTACACTTAGTCAGCTTCTTCCTCAGACTAGGTAAAGAGTATTAGGCAATTTATCTATGCAAGTACAGCAGGCATCTGTTTATATTTTTGTGTGTCTTTGGTGTTATCATACCCAAATGACAAAGACTCTTGACATTTTTTTATGCATAAGACACACACATCGGATGTAAAATTAACAGTTGAGATCAACAAAGAACACAGCATGCCACACAGCAATTTCCAGCAAAATTGAGTGGAATATTCCGTTCATTGTTCATGGCTTCTGTTTGGACAAACCACATTCCTTGGTTCCACTAATCCAGAGTTTTACAGTTAGGACCCACCAGTGCCACATACCCCGACTTAACTCATGCTAATTCCCTTCATATTCCATTAGTGAGGAGGAAGTTCCACTGAGATAACTGCTGCATTGTAGAATGGACTCCCAAGAAGAAGCTTTACCCTACGATCACTATAATCTTAATCTCTCGGAGATAATAGATTTGGCTATGTTTTTTTTCTTTTCAGTGGTATCAGTGACAAAACAATTTGTTGTCTGTTTTTCACAATTTGGGACGGCAAACATCGAAAAACTATAATCACCATATAAATTGTGTTTGTTGCCATCATCTTTATCTAATTCATATTTTAAATATATATATATATATATATATATATATGAAAATGTTACAGGTGATATATATATATATATATATATATATATATATATATATATATATATATATATAGTTTTAAGGTGTGCTATGTTTATGGGATAAAGTGCTCAATATCAGAGATAGAGCTTATGTAAATATAAAAGGGACATTGAAGTCAGGCCTGACCATTCCGTCTAGCAAGAAACAGCCTATCGCCTCTGCGTGTTGACTTCAATGTTCACTTTTATATATCTATGCTGAAACCGAACTCATAAATAATTACATCGGTTACACAATTACATGCCTATCCAGAATTCTTACGTTACACCTATCTGATCGCAGCTCCATTAGAACCCATTTAAACACGGTAACAAACGTACCAGACACCATTAGAAAGATACTAGTAGAAAACACAAATATAATAACTTCATACACCTGTAAAAAAAAGATTAAAAATAATGGAAGCTTTAATAATAAAAAAGAAAAAGCTAACTCTTAACAATATTAACTACGAACAAGGCCACAATGTGCTAACCTTATTCGGAAATTAAAAAAATGAAAAAACATCTCTACAACACACTAAAACATACACATAATGTACACGCTCAATTAAGCTAAAAAATTGAATCATCCTTGATAATGGCTAAAGGTATAACCGAAAGCGCTCGGGACTATAAAACATTTGGACAGTTTTAACACACTCTTTGTCCAGAAAGGAAAGCTCTTGTTCGAATAAAAAGCTTAACCGTAGTACCCTGTCTGTCGTTTTTAATGAAACATATATATATATATATATATATATATATATATATATATATATATATATAATTATTTATTTAAAAATATGATTTCAACACGCTACATAAGAGTTCTCATGTTTCAAAGCAAGAGCCGAAAACTTCAATATAATTATTTGATTTAAATTGAATTAAAGTACTAAGCTCTGTTCCATCTTCAAGCGAATTTTTTTTTGGAATAACTTAATTTTGAAATTTACGCGTTTTATAAGTATATTCATTATTGAAATCAAAATTTCTATGGTAACAGCTAGAACAATTGTTTAAAGAAAAGCGGCGTAAGGTGTTAATAATTTGTATCAATATCTCAGTTATATATATATATATATATATATATATATATATATATATATATATATATATATATATATATATATATATATATATATATATATATATATATATATATATATATATAAAAACATTTAAACTTATCTTAGCCAGTGTCAGGGTTAACTACATACCTTGATTCCATCAATCTAGAGCTTTACACCTAGGACCAGCCAATGCCACATACACTGAGTTAACTAATCCATATTCCTTTATATTCCATTAGCGAGGAGGAAGTCCCAGGAAGTCCCAGTCAGACATCTTCTTCCCCAGATATTAATCTCTTTAAGTCTAGACCCAACCTTTTCTATCTTACATATCTCATTCTCCATTCCTATACACCACCTTATAAAACTTCATTTTTTACCCTCCTCCATGAGTGGCTCTTTCGCCTTGTATTCAGTAAATAATAGTAAAAAAAAAAAAAAAAAAACAGAGGAAAAATGTCCGGAATATATTTGGACCTAACATACAGTTCCCGGATGTTATAATTATCCCAATTTCAATCCATGATTTCCTTTGATTACAGTCCGAACGCACTC